GAGTGAGGACCTTGTTTTCTTCCACAGGGGGGAAGGAGGGTGCTAGAGCAGCATGTCTCACAGGGGAGGGTGCTAGAGCAGCACATGCTGCAGGGGAAAATAACCCTCCTGGCCACCACGGCTGCTATTGTGACAGTGGCAGCTGGAGGCCTGGGCTCTTTAAACTGCTGTTGGAACCTCACACAGCATTCTACAGGCAGTCTGCTCCAGGTACCCCTGAAGGTTGGGGATATGCCATGGTCCAGGTGGCGGCAGGGGGCTGGCTGCTCTGGTCCCGCCCTTCTGCCCAAGGCTATGCCCCTTCCTGGAAAATGGAGCGGTCCCCCCACACTTTGCCCAGAGTCCTGCGAGTCTGTTGGCTCCCTGGGGGCCTATAATATAACCTGAAGAAGCGAATGCCTTTATAAAAATACTTACACAAGGATAAGTAGAACATACAGCTTGATCTCACCAATTGACTTCAAAACAAACCAAAACACCATAAAATAAACACAAACCCAGCATAATTCTCTTCTCAAATGCTAAAAGGCTGATTGATTGTGGGCCGTCAATAGATAAATTCCTAAACCCCTCAAATATCATTCCTTTTATGTATGACTTATCTGGGCGATCAGAAATCACCTGATCAAGTAGCTTATTTACTTCAAATTTCCCTGGTAAGGAAAAGAACATGCTGAGGACAATCACAGCTAATTTTAAGAGCTTGCAGCCAGAAATACCATATGGATTCAGTTAGAGGTTGGATAACCAAAAGGATTATTTTTAAAAACTATTATTTTAAAAATTATTATTAAGGTAAAGTTTCAATACTTATTCATGGTAAGGTCAATATTCAAAGAACATTTATTTTTTGAAGTAGAAAATGAAGAAAGGCTTCTTGGATTAGGATGTTAAAAAGTGGTTTATTAGGTAACCGTCTAAGCACTGAAAATTCTCAATGGTTACACTCTGTGGGCTCTGTAGTACAACACTTATTCTGCAGAGCAGCAGGCTCTCTGGAAGCAGAACCGGCTGGCCCCACGCACTGTGGACTCTGCAATATAACCGTTATACTGTAGAGCCTGCAGTAGGGGGTGGCTACCGGTTCCCTGGGAGCAGGGCTGAGAACCTTTGTGTAACTGTTAACAGTATCTGATGAGCCCAGGCTTATCAGTTAACTATTTGAACAGTTATACTATCCCATCCCTATCTCAGATACAAAATAACATTTGCTGATATCTAAGCAGCAATGTTCCTCTGTTTCAGAGCAGGATTAGTAGTCAGCAAACTTATTATTATGAGTTATTCTCAGTTCTACTATGCCATAGTTGTGGCTGGCATGTTACAAAGAATAGGTCTCTTCCCTCAAGATCCAGGTGTCTAATTTCTACCTGAATGGCCAGTCAAAAGGTGACCCTGGTGGCTCCAGTGCAGCAGGGCCAAAGCAGGTTCCTTGACTGCAATGGCTCTGTGCAGCTCCTGGAAGTCGCAGCATATCCCCGCTCCTGTTCTTACACTTAGTGGCAGCAAGGGGGTGCCATGTGCTGCTCCTTCCTCAAGTGCTACCTCTACAGCTCCCATTGGCCAAAAACCACAGTCAATGGGAAGCACCTGCAGCGGGCAGTGTGCAGAACTGCCTGGCTGAACCTCCATGTAGAAAAGGAGGGGGGACAAGTTGTAGCTTCTGGAAGCTCCTTGAGGTAAGTGCCACCAAGAGTCACCCTGAATCCCAAACCCCTGTCCCAACCCTGAATTCTTCTCATTCTCCAATTCCCTAGATCCCATCCCAGAGCATGCTCCTGAATCCCAAACTGCTCGTCCGCAGCCCCGCCTCAGAGCCCACTCCTGCAGCCAGAGTCCTCATCCTGCCCTCCATGCCTCAGTTCCCTCCTCCAGTCTTGATCCCTCTCCCACCCTCTAAACCCCTCGATTCCATCCTGGAGCAGCCTCCTACACTCCAAACCCTCATCAAATTCTGCACCCCAACCCATAGCCCTCACACCCCGTCCAGTCCTCATTCCCCTGCCCTAGCCTGGTGAAAAAGAATGAGCGAGGTGTGGAAGCAGGGAAAGGAAAAAGGGGATTTGTATGCAGCCATCTTAGGGTTGTTAGCAATAGAGCAAGAGGCAGGCTAACCCTGAGGCCTAACAATGCGAGAGCGAGAATTGTAAGAGATGCTTCGCTCTAAAAGATTAGGCTGGAATGCTGACTCCAGAAGGAATCTTGGGATAAGGGAGCATCTAAGGGAATTGTGTAGGCAGAGAGATAACGGGAAGGTATATACTTGTCTTCTACAGCTTGTACTTTGAAGAACACGGCTACATTTCTATTGCTTAGGAAGAGGGCAGCCTTCCCTTGAAATTGCTCAAAAATAAACTGCCTCTGACTTGTTGCTTACCAAAAGCAGAGTGAGGACCTTGTTTTCTTCCACAGGGGGGAAGGAGGGTGCTAGAGCAGCATGTCTCACAGGGGAGGGTGCTAGAGCAGCACATGCTGCAGGGGAAAATAAAGAACACGGCTACATTTCTATTGCTTAGGAAGAGGGCAGCCTTCCCTTGAAATTGCTCAAAAATAAACTGCCTCTGACTTGTTGCTTACCAAAAGCAGAGTGAGGACCTTGTTTTCTTCCACAGGGGGGAAGGAGGGTGCTAGAGCAGCATGTCTCACAGGGGAGGGTGCTAGAGCAGCACATGCTGCAGGGGAAAATAACGGGGGGCAGGGTACCAGAGCAGCGCGTGCCGCAGTAGAGGATAACGGGGGGGCAGGGGCCGGTGTGGGGGGGCAGAGCGCTGGAGCAGCGCGTGCCGCAGCGGTAAGGGGCGGGGAGGCAAGGTGCTAGAGCAGCGCGTGCCGCAGCGGAGGGTAACGGGCGGATGGGTGCTGGAGCAGCGCGTGCTGTAGGGGAGAGGAAGGGGAGGGAAGCAGGGTGCTAATTAAGCGCGTGCCACGGGGGAGAGTAAAAGGGGTGGCAGGGTACAAAGAGTGCTATACCTGTTCACACAGGTAGAAGAAAGGGGTGAGTAACAGGTGAGTAAACTTAGGCGGGGGAAGGGGCGTAGAACTTGGCTTGGTTGCTTGTGGCTG